TTTCTTAGTGGTTTTTGATGATATTGACAATGAATGTACAACAAACGTTTTGGTGTGCCACGCTTTGCCGAAATATGTACGTACATATGTATGTAGGTCGATTGATGGCTCTTTAGTATTTACATAAATACATGTTTATCTATTTTAACAAAGAAAGATAGTCAGTGTGACAAACAAACCAAATAAAATTTGAAAATGCAGTTAATGTCATATTTTGACGCCAAAATTTGGCGACAATTTTGACACAACTTTATTTCCTTTATCCATGCCTTTACCGATGATATTATGAGCCCAAAACAGACTAATAGCCGATTTATCAGCGCTGGTACACGACTAAAGACCTATCCTGATCCAAATAAATCGAGTCTTTTAATCCCATTTGGCAATGTGTTTTCAATTATTCGACGACAAATGNCTCATTTATCCATGCCTTTACCGATGATATTATGAGCCAAAAACAGACTAATAGCCGATTTATCAGCGCTGGTACACGACTAAAGACCTATCCTGATCCAAATAAATCGATAGACCGTCTTTTAATCCCATTTGGCAATGTGTTTTCAATTATTCGACGACAAATGCCACTGAATTTGACATAGTGAAAATCAGCCTTAAGTGAAAGATATCATTGCCATGCAATAACAGTGAGGTAAACTAAATCAAATGATTTTATTCGGTAGCACAGTTGGAGATGGTTTGAAAAAGGCATTAAATGTCAGAGGAAAACCTAAGTAAAATTTGTAAAATATTAAAGTATGCTGGAATATTTTTTTATATGGAAGAAAATGGTGGACACCGCCAGCAAAAAAAAAAAATTGGTATGGTAGATTTTTTCGATTTTGCGCGTATAACGCTGAACAACCAATGGATCTAAAATCAATTTGTTGTTTGCTAAATTGCGAAAATAGGTTTCTTAGCATTTTGCTGAAGTGTTGTAAAGAAGTGCTTAAATTTTGTATAAAGACATCCTATATGGGGTTTTTGGTATGAGGAGTCCATTTGTGCATTTATCTTTTTCTGAAAACTTCCACCAGAGGGCGCAACAGTCTTTCACATTTTCTTCGAAGGATACTTTCGTAATTTGGCAAACTCCAAATCGATTTTAGACCCATGGCTTCTTCCGAAAATTTGCTTATAAGTATATGTAGAATCCTCTTATGCTATGTGGGCATAGTAAAAAAAAATGTATGCCTATGATCCTTGTTATATGTATAATGAGCAACTCTTTTATCAAAAAAAAAGCTTATAGTATACCCGCGGATTTTCCCAAATGTTTTTATCTGAAGACTATTTCTAAGCAGACTTTGAAGAATTCTGGTAAACACAGAACCCAAACTAAGTATACCAAAATCTATTGTGCAATCTATGCAAGCATTCCACTAAAAATTATCTAGTTGCATATTACAAGGCTGAAATTTTCTTGGAAGCGGACGAACTCTGAAGATTTGCTTGTAAACTTTGTAACGTGCTTTTTAATTTTTTCTCTATGGAACGTAAAAACACTTTATTTACAAAACAAACGTCGGCTTTTTAGAAAAAGAAAACAGTATAAAGAGAACCTGTGAGTGCGAAAAAACATGTTTTACATGGCAGCGAAATGAGACCCTAACAAAAATCATAAATTAATTGATCTCTCTGCAAAATTACATCGGAAATTGACGATAAAGTACAAAGTAAGCAAAAAACATTAGAAACTATACAAGAGTCAAGGATGTAGTGAAATATGTTCAAACACTTTAACAAAGATGTTTTAAACTTTGAAAAGGAAAAGTTAAAGCGGCTATGGCTTTCCAAAAATTTGCTTGTAAAAAATTCATTTCAGTTTTGTAGAACGTTTGGATGAAATATTTTTCAAAAAGAAAAAGAAAAGGACTCCTTACTGGAAAAATGTGATCTGTTTGTTGTCGAAATGACTAAAAACATTACTCAAATTCGAACAACAAAGTTCCCAAATACATAATATTTTTAAAAAAGTCTTCTGCCCTAAGCCCGAAAATTTGATGGCCTGCTTTCACTATGGACATATGTAAGTATTTTGCATAAAACTTTTTCTGGCTGATTTCGATAATGTCTATGTGAGTGGAAAACCAATGTTTATTGCATCCAAATGCATAGCTGTTTCGTTTTATTGCCTCAGTCTTTATTTAATTCCGCACACGTTATCTAATAAGGGAGTGAAGCGAGTCTAAAACCTCTCTTTCCCAAACGATCAGCCGTCACACTGCCCATAAGGGCTTAGTGGTAGCTACTTTCACAAAATAAGTCTCTCTACACCGGTGGCGAGACGGCATGTTCTTGCTTGTAGCTGAGTTTCTGTAGATTGACAAGACATGTACTTGTACAGGACATGCAACGATGAACCATAAACGTGTACCCGAACGACACGGAGACTCAGGTTCTTGACTTGCTGGTCACATCGTACAGGACCTCAATTTTGTCATCGGTAGACCCTCGGACGCAATCCAGAAGCATTCCCCAGAGAGAACGACCCTACTGTAGTCTGCATATAACCCACATTGGGCGGCAGGACTCTCTTACCTGGAAGGAGGTATAAAATGCTCCTTGGGAATCCCCTGAAAGGAGAGTTCTGTCTTCTGTGCTATGGAATATCGACAGCTACTAAAATTATTGCTTATGCAGAAGAGTTACTTATGCTGGTAGTAGGTAAGTTCATCGCGACGGTCAGTGATATTTTACAATGTGCAATTAACGACCTGGCCATGGTCTAAGAGTTGACTCCTTCAAAACTGAAAGAGTTCTGTTCACCAAGCGATATAAGTAAGAAGATGAATTTCGAACTCCTTCACACAATGGTGGAAATATTAAATCGTCAGACGAAAGCCTAACCCTACACTTAACTTTCCAAAAAAACGAAAACCGAAGAGGGCAGAAAGAAAGCGTTAGAGTTACCAAATCCTATCTACGCAACATGCCAAATCTGCGACACAAAGCATGCCTACATAAAATGTGAGCAATATACTCAACGCCAGGCTGTTATCCTCGACAAAGTGAGGGGTGGAATACAAGAACTGCGACTATCAAATCGCGGATCTTAATTTCGACTACAACTTCACAGCAGTGACTGAAATCTTAATATCGTTCTTAACGACGACAAAATGCCGATCTCTGCAGACGGCACCAAAATGTTCGTTGAAACAGGATCTGACGCCTTCTCTCAGAAATTATCTTTGAGGGATTCCTACAGACTCCCAGATCACTACAGTATTTTTCCATGCTGAGATATATGCTATTGACGTGGTGGCAAAACTGATAAGCATCATGGATTTGCTTAGCTCTAACTAAATTTGCCTTCGTTGTTGAAGGTGAAGCTTGATTTGCGTTCGGGAATTCCGAATATCCTTACAACGTCTGCGACGGCAAATAACCAATCTTTAGTAGCTCCCGCGACACACTGGTATTCCAGAAAATTAAAAAGCAACGAGTGCGCCAGAAAGTGATCAGATATAGGATTAGGGAAAACGGGTTAGTCGAAAAACTTTCCTGTTATCACAAGTTAAGAAGATAAGATAGCAACCTGCGCTGTATCGCGCTCACTTTGGCCAATGCAGGATGCGCGAAGAACAAGAAGTTTACTAAGACATTCAAAGTTAAAGTTAAGATTTCTGACAAGAAAACTATTGGGATACTGAACCATTGGCCACATGGCTACCAATGGGGGATATAACCCGTCCAGCACTTCCAAGGCGAGAGCTCCGCAGTCAAGAGAAAACGACTCAATTTTCTGGGGGACTACTTCTTCTAAAGCTTAGAGAGCTTACGGAAAACTCCGCTAGAGGGTTTGCCAGAGTTCGCAAGAGTATCAGGATGGTTCAAAGTCATGTAGGGATATGAGCGGGTATCATAATGGACCTATGCGATTTCCAAGTGAACTCTTATCACAGCTGCTGCACAACCTAACCTTACCTAGGGGTGGTTGAACACAAAATGTAAAAATAAAAATAATATTTATGCTTATATTTGTGTTTTTTTTCGATATAAAAGTCCTATAGACAGTGGTAACTGATGGCTTCAGATGTTGCGAATTCATCGTATACCATCTGTGTATATCCAAAACTATGCATGTATGCCCTAACCTAATCGGAGAGGGATGGCGTCGCGGTCTGAAGTCGACCATTGTTCATGAATCAACTCTCTGTTCTGCAGAGAAGTTATTCTAGGATAGGAAACTTATAGCAGATTGAGAACTTTTTCGTTGATGTTCGACATGAAAAGAACATTAACACACTTACATATAAAGAAACAATTGAAGAGACACAAACAAACCAATGACAAAGAAAGCAACGAAACATCTAGGTATATTAGGGTGGAGCGAAATAAATCAGTTTTTTCGATTTACGAAATTCTAATAAAGCGGAAAAGTTGTGTAACTTGATCAAATTGAGCCGAGTTGAAAAATTTGTTTATCGATAATATTTACGGTCGCCCCAAGAGCCATAAAGTTTCGAAAAATCTCTCAAATTATAGTTCATTTAAATAAACAATTTTTCAAAATTTTCTAGAAAGATTTTGAGTATGCGGTTTTGTAGCCCATTAAGTTTTAGTACAAGTTTCAAGTTGCTGCCAGTCCTCCATATAAAAACAAATTGTAAAGTATGTTTTTTATGGAAAAGCTGCGTGGCACTGTCAGCAAAAAATAAATAAAAAATGCAAAAAATTAATGCGATTTTTAGAAACTTGAATTCTACAATTTATTATACCAAAATTTAAAATCTAAAAAAAGTATGAAAGAACCATATTTTGATAGAGTTTTCTAAACTTTAAAGCTGTTGCGGTGATCGTAAATATCATCCGATTGGAAAGCGGCTTAACACGGCTCAATGTGATCATGTAACGCAATTTTTCCGCTTAATTAGAATTTCTAAAACGAAAAATTGATTTATTTTTGCTCCACCCTAATGAACATCTAGCAACATTCATACTTACATACATACGTACATACACATGTCACGTGTGCGTATGTATGCAGTTTTCCCACTTACATTTGCTTGTGGCACACTACACACACCCAATCGGTGGTACGTGAGGTGAACTCGCGGCATGCTTTGCACACGCGCAACTTGCAGACGCGGCACGGTGCTCCACGATTCGTGATGCGTCCCAGCTCGGTGTTGCAACGCGCGCAATGACGATTCGATTCGCAATGCAACAACGGGTGGTGCTGGAGGTGTTGACTGTGGTAGTGGGTGGCTGTGGTCGTTGTGGTGGTGCATATTGTTGTTGTTGCTGTTGATGCCATATTGTGATTGTTCTGTTCGTACTGTTGGTTTTCTTGTTGCAGTGGTTGTTGTGCATTATTTTGTGTGGCATCAAGTGCACCGCCCATGCGCAGCGCGCCCTTCCGACGCAACGAATACAATTCGGCACGCAAAAGCCTGTCGGGTGTTTATTCAATGGATGATGCATGCATGGGAGTTGAGATTAAAAAATCATGTATGCGTGTGTGTGTGTGTGTTAATATATGATTTTTGTGCGTCAATGTGTGCGTGGGTTTGCGTGTGCGAAACAGTTGGAGTGGTGCGTGTTGGTCAATTGGAAGAACAACAAGAACAGGTGAGGTCGCGTCAGTGTTTGCGGTTAATCAACGCCAAAGTTTCGGAAGACAGCAACAGTTTGCATGGTCGTAGGAAGTGTGGGTGTGGGTATGTGCGTGTTTGGGAAAGAGATGCGTGTGAGTGGACGTTTGGTTCGTGGTCAAATTTCGTTGCGAAATATTTTTGGTTTGTCCAGTGTCCAGTGTTTGTTGTTGTTCAAATTAGTGGTTTCAGATGCAAGTAAGCATGCGTATGTTTTTATTTTTTTTTTTTTTTTCGTTTTTGTTGGTGTCATTCATTTGGTTGGTGTCATGTTTGCGTGTCAAACAATTAAAATGGGAAATGGGAAAGAAAGAGAAATATGAACCCAAATAGAGAGAAAACGAGAAAGCAGTGCAGGGAAAAGAGATAAAAAGAGAAGAAAAATAGTATTAGTAAGTTTAGTTTTGGTAAGGATATATTTTTATTTGGTAAGTTGTACTATTTGTTATTGAATTAGTTTATAAGCTAAGGTATTCCTCTAATTTTGCTGCTCTTTATTTGTATCAGTACAATTTTGTCGCTTTCAGGTTTCAAACATTTTTTTTGTTGCCTTGAAATTTAAAAAATATATAATATGTGAACTTTCGCTAGCCAACTTAATTAAAATTAATATGTAGTTAGAGAAAATGTATGCACTAAATACATATGTTTTTTAAAAGATATGAAAATTTTGCTTATATCCAGTAGCTTTTAACGACAAAAAGTAAACAAGAGCATACCTCTATCTCTATTTAGTAAAAAACATAAAGCAAGGTGTCGAAAATCGTGTTTTTGCAAAAATATTTGTTGTGGAAGATTTTTCCTTAAGGCGACAAATGGGCGTGGCAGTTTTAGAACTAAAGGTAACAAAACGCAGATTTTATTGCGGACTTCCGCCGAATATACCATTTTTATGAATATTTGTTCCACACATTTTTTTAAATCGAATCTTCTAGAAATGGGCATAGCAATTTTAGAAACAAAGTTAAATAAATTAAAATGTTATTGTGGATTTCGGGAGAAAATCTATTCCACAACTTTTTTTTTTGTACGAGAGGAGTGTCTCCTTTTATTTTGAAGTTATTGAAAATGCGTATTTAAACAAATTGTTTACAAGCTACATAATATTAAGAAGGGGGATAATCCGACCATTCACTTCAAATCGTAGCTTTCCCACTTCACTTACAGTGAGAAACTATTTACGAAGATGGCCTTTACTTTTGAGCAGATCCGAAAACTTCTTAGTAAGAAGACATTTTTAAGGGTCGGCAACGTGCGCAGAAAGTGCTCAAAACCCGGTTTTTTTGTATAGAGTTTTCATATTTTGTTCTATATTAACCACAGTATTTATTATCCTTGTTTGGACCATTCGGCTTTTAAAACCTTGGGTTAATATGTAAAAAAACACCTAATTTCAAATCGGGCGTTTCAGGGGTCGGCAAATGGCTTGAAAATTTGATTATTTATCGATTTTGTTATCGATTATGTTTCCGATTTATTGATTTTGTTATCGAGATATTTATCGATTTTGCTATCGCAATTTTTAACGAATTTGTCATCGATTTTGTAATCGATATTTGTATTTTATTTGTTATCGATATCAATTGCATCAATTCAACCTGTACTTCTAAAAGATCTGATATCTGTGCTGTACTGTACTTCTGTGCAGATCTGATCTCCTTCACAAAAAATTGCTTCTCGTATTCGAACACCCATATTTTATTACATAAATATGTACGTATCTCATTTACTTAAGTCCCTTAATTTTAGTTGAATTTTACGTTTTAAACGGGTGGCAATACTCCTACATATTTATTAGGAATGGAGCGTTTTCAAACCAATTTATAGTAATGCCCATAATTTAATAACTGACTTAACTTATTAAATAATTTTAACAAAATTTTTAACAGGTGGCAACACTTAAAAAACTTAAAAGTCAAGCGCTTTAATATCACAATCCACTGGAAATCGAACGAATGCCAACCTGATCACATACACAAAAAAATGGGTCTTCGCGTGTTATAAGTAGAATCTAAACCCATAAAGATGTTCTCTTTTTTAAAACTTCACGTGCAGTTTGACCTGCCTATGTGAAGTTTCCAAATACTACGTTCAGGTTGCTTGATACTTAAGTATGTGAGCATAGCGGAACCAGTGTTGCCATTTCAGCCGTTTTCCGGCTAAATTTAGCCGGTTGCGATAGCAAACAGCCGGAGAAATTTCGGTTTAGCCGAAAGCCGATTTCTTAGTCGTTTTGTAAAAAAAATTAGCCGTTTTTAGCCGGTTTTGCTATGTCTTTTTTAAATTCAAATATATGTATATGTTTTCATTTTTGACTAAGCGATCCTAAATNGTTTTGCTATGTTTTTTTAAAATTCAAATATATGTATATGTTTTCATTTTTGACTAAGCGATCCTAAATCTGTCGGACATGGCTACTAGCCTTATCGCGGAGGCAGGGCTATATAAAATTGGGTCGATTTCGCTTATTTTTNCAGTGTTGCCATTTCAGCCGTTTTCCGGCTAAATTTAGCCGGTTGCGATAGCAAACAGCCGGAGAAATTTCGGTTTAGCCGAAAGCCGATTTGTTAGCCGTTTTGTAAAAAAAATTAGCCGTTTTTAGCCGGTTTTGCTATGTTTTTTTAAAATTCAAATATATGTATATGTTTTCATTTTTGACTAAGCGATCCTAAATCTGTCGGACATGGCTACTAGCCTTATCGCGGAGGCAGGGCTATATAAAATTGGGTCGATTTCGCTTATTTTTATTTTAGACGAATATATTTTTTCTAAAAAATGCCGTAACGGGGATTTTCTTCATAAATGTATGTTAAATTTAAGTGTGAAAATAAAAAATTGTTTCACAGTTTGCTATTTTCAAGCACTAGGTACACATATGGATTTATTTAAACTAACTTTTCTCCTGAGAACTTATTTAAATTCCAAAAACCGAAGGCCAACTTCAATTTAAAGAACCAATACTGAAATGCGTCAAAATGAAGGTAAAAGAGCACAAATTTCTATGTCTCTGGGAAGACAATAGGTTTGTTCGTCGAAAATGCAGCGAAAATTATCACTCAAAATATCAGTTAGTGAGAAAAAATGCTCCCAAATTCTCTCTCAAGTAGAGAAACTTGAAATTTTCTGCACGAACGCAAATTTGAGGGAACTTGCAAGTTTCCCTGCCGGCTAGTGTCCACGGTTGCATTTCAAACATAAAAAATTTGTATAGAATTTTAAAATTCTTTCAGAGGGACAAAAAACAGGACCTAGGATTCTTGCTAGGCCGTCTTTCTTTCTTTAACATACGTTTCAATTCCTTTGCCGTACTAACTGTCGCGTTTCCTATATCGACTCTGGTTGAGATTGCATTCCGAGTGCTTTTCAAATCATTGGAATTAATTAAGTAAAACAGTTTTACTTAAATTTTTCATTTTAAAATCGCTCAAGTTTGTAAATTTCTAAATTTGATAAACCTGTTTATTCAAATTATCGTAGACAAAAAATCAAACCATGTACCACAATCACATGTTTTTCCTAATTGCAAATTCTTGCTGGCAAAATTTTTTCCAGCTTGAATTTGCAGCTTCTCTCCAAGAACTAGTTTTTCTACTTATGGTTTATTTAAATACAACTTGTGAAATTTAGTTGAAACAGTTTAGCCGTTTTTAGCCGGTTTTTTTTTGCCAATTTAGCCGGTTCATCCAAAAGGTTCTGGCAACATTGAGCGGAACACGTATTTGGCGAAGGAGAGCGCCGTCGAGTAAAGCTCGGAACACTTTGACGACTGCAACTTCACGACGTAACGACAGCGACATCATTTTGTCGACAAATGTCGCCTTGAAGCCAGCTTCTTAAACATTTTGAAGACCTCAGCGACATAGCAAACAGCTGATTTTAAAGTTTGACATTTTGGTATATTTATTTCACAAATTGTGTATTTTTATTTAAGTAAATAAGAAAAACATGAACAATCAAGAATATGTGATTAATTTTGCGACAATTTAATTTTGCAGCACTACATCTACTCATTGTCGCCGGCAAAATTAGAAATAGATTTAATTTGGCGACGTCGACAATTGCAGTCCTGCAGCCAAGATGTCGTGCTGTCGTCAAAATAATTGTGTCCGTAAGAACGTGTGTATTTAAAATTTGACAGATGCTGCTTGTCGCTTGCTGTCGTCAAAGTGTTCCGAGCTTAACATCGTTCAGGTACGCTCATTTGGGACATTCTCTCCTTTAGTTTCTTTATTTTTGGGTACCGCAAGCATGTGTTCCTATTTTTCGATTGAATGTCTAAAAAAAAATCTATTAAATACTAGGTCGCTCTAATGTACTTAAATTGCATATATATACATACGTGTTTAAAGTACTTATGAAATTGTTGGTATATTTTTATTAAAAAGTTTTTTGGCAAATCTATTCCTGCACTTACATCAACGGAGTCATTAATCATCTTGACAACGGTTGAGCAAAATAAACGCAGACACATTCTTATTATTTTTATTTGTGTGTTTCGAGATTGTCGAAGTCAGGTGGTTTTTAATTTACTTGCCAGGAACCCAACCATTGAAATTAGAACACAACCAACTAATTTTAGAGAAACTGAAACTTTGATGTCAAGTACTTAGAATTTGTTGATTAAATTGGAAAATTTTGTTTACGAAGATTTAGCAGTTTTCTTCTAATTGAAAGAGTTTGCGAAAGAAATATACATACTTAACTATGAAAACTGCTTAAGAGTGACAAAGACTTTAAAGTTTTGAAGATTTAAGGTAGCTGCCCA